ATTATCATCCCTTCTTCTATTTCTTCTGTTTTAAGCATGAGTAGCTAGATTCTTACTAGGGTTGTGACCCAACCCTAGAGTGTAAACCTAATGGGTGTTTGATTTATTGCTTGTTTATGGTTGGGTGTTTATTATTTAGCCTTGTTCTTGCTTTTTATTGTAGAATTAATGCTTGCAAACATTAGTTCATGCCTATTTGACTTGTCTCTACTTGAGAAAGAGAGACTTAGTTTAGGAAAACTTGGGTTACAAGAAATTGGGGTAAATCAAGAGATTGATAGTCCCAATTAAAGGGTTGAATATAGAGATAGTAAAACCCGACTTGAGCTTTTTATCAACCGTTTTGTTCAATACCCATTTGGACTTGAGAAAGCCAAATTGGGCAAAATCACTCTCTGACCGAGAGGTATTGAGTGGGTATTCGAGTATTGATAGCTATAATACACCCCGACCAATAAAACAAGCTTTAAAATTTACAACTCGTTAGGCAAACACCTAGGTGAAGGTCATAGCCCTAGCCTTTTATATCATTTGAAAAACCACAAAAATAATTTCCTAGTTTTAATTCTTAGTTAGTAATCTTAGTTTAACTTAGACTTAGAAACAACCCAATTATGTGGAAGTGCAATTTGAGATAATTCGAGCTCATTCACTATAATATATACTCCTAAGTCCCCTTCATAGCTCCCTGTGGAAAATCGACCCCGACTCCTTGTTGGGTATTACTATTGCATCGACCGTTTCACAACCTTAAATAGAGGTGTGACTTGGCGAGATCACTCGGGGATCACTGCTTGTGTTATAAATTCAATATGCTTTGAAGTTATCATGTTAACTGAATAACTCATTCATACATAGATCTTTGACAGAATTTCATGTTACATGGTGCAACTTGGTGGTTAGTAAAGATATATATCAACATAGATAAAATAATGTCTGGATACTACATAGTTTAGATACCATTAGACTATCAATCAACTCTATTAGCGGGGTAAATACTGACATTACTATTATGCCTCTGTTAGTTGTTTTAACATTGGTTATTCGCTATTCTTTTCTAGTGCTAGCAATCAACCTGTGATGCGCTATTAAACGTCCATCCCTTTGTAGAATGTGCAACTTAACCAACTTAAATATCTAAGCTAAGCAGTGAAGGTATTAACTGATATTACAAGTGTGAATTTTGATGAGTTATTGAATCCTTACATGGATAAAATGAATAAAAGCATAAGCAGATATACCTAGACGGATTATAATTTTAAGTATACGTCACCTGTTTAGTGCATTGCTAAACCTATTGAGACAATCTCAACTATTAAATGTCACCACATCTTTGGCTACCCTTCAAGTTAGCATTAAAACTACTGAATTGTATCTTCCATATCCTCAGATTCATCTGGTTACTGCCACTAGTAGTGGAGAAGCTCTTGGAAATCTAGTTCTGGTTCCTACTATTTTCAGTAAATGGGCTATTTTGAGTGAAGGAAAGTAAAATGTGTCCTACCAGAATGGGCAATTGTGAAATCTCTTCCATTTCTTTCTCAAAATTATAAAGTATAGAATAGACAACAAAGACAAATTTTTCTGATCTACTATAATTAACTACTACAATTATTTTGAAAAAAATCAATAAGAACATTACATAAAAGAAAAGGGTACTAAGAATCACCTTAAACTCGTAGTAAACTCAACCAACTTTCCGACTTCTGAAAACAAGAATTGTTCCCCATATTAAATAGTGTGACTTGGAGTTGACCAATTTATGTTGAAACCAAAAATGGCTTACACCATGTCTCCACTATTTGGTGTCGCAAAAAGAATAAACTTTACACTATTGGTAATCATCTCTTTTACAGAGAGTTATTCCATGTGTAAAAGAGTCAATCATAAGGAAAGAAGATGATCAAGACTGGATATTCAGGATATACAAGTATAACAAATTACAAAAATATCAGTTTACAACTACAACATTCACTACACATAGCATGTGTCATAGCAGCTGCTACTCCAGGTCACTAATAATTACAAATGACTGCAGTTTGTGTGTGTAAACATGTCATACACAGCTAGATAAAGATTCAACACAACTTTTTCATATGCTACAAGAGAAAATACGTAAGATACTAATCGGTCTAGATTGATACATAAATGAAAAAAGAAAAGAACATGCATACTGGTGTTAAAGAAGAAAACCTTTTACTCTCAAAATAGCAAGTAGGTGAAAACTTCTGCATCAACATACAATTGGTGTATGACTATGTATAGCAATCTCGCAGTAACTTATGATGCAATTGGACAGGTAATTAATTTTTATATTTTAAACAGTTCCTAATTTTACTACATATGAAACAAAGAACCCATATAGGTAATACCAACTTGAAGAAATTTCTTTCCAAAGCCAACATTTCTCGGGAAGACCATATGATCTAGAAGATATGTGTAAAGAAAAAGTAATTAATAAAGCCTAGTGCTATATATTCACGAACAACTTTCTCCGTATCAATGAGCTAAAATTTAGTCGAACTATAGAACTTCATGTGCCATGGTGTAGCTTAGTGGTTAGTATATATATATATATATATATATATATATATATATATATATATATATATATATATATATATATATATATATATATATATATATATATAGAGATAGATAGATAAAGAAATATTTGGATACTACACAGTTTAGATACCATTACAAACATCAATCAACTCTGTTTCAATCTCGAACTGGTTGATTGGCTATTGTTTAGACACCCTTGCATAATACTATACTAATTTACCGTAACTGTTTTATGATTTCACTCAACACATTTTTGTTTTTGAACTATATGAAAATAAGATTGACGAATCCTTCTCCTACAGCGTAAAACCATTGACAATATCGTCACAACCACCAACAGATATATTAAAATATTCCTTAAGAGTTCCTTACCAGTTGGTCCACCACCCTAACCATCATGTTTCACAAACACTAAAGGCATACCAGCTTTTACTTATTGCACTTATTTCAAGTATCATTGGTATTCTGCCAGAAAAATCAAGCCACATATGTTAAAAAAATAAAAGAGTAATCTAAGTCAAGGGAGTTTTGGAACTGTTTTTATCTTCAAGGATATCATATCTTAATGCATGCTTTATCCATTACCAGAGAGTAGTCTGACTTTTTTAATCAAACACGTTGTAGGAACAAGTTATATGAGTTTTAGGTCCTACACTTTATTTTGCTCATATTTATTATAGACATATATATATATCCCAGATATTGAGTTATCCATATTTTTTTTAATGGAACTTTTGTGCTTTCCATGTATTTGCTATCTCATAGGTTTTGTTACAGGGTTTTATGAAATTGTGGCCTATTAAGGTTATTTCTGGACCTAGTGATAAGCTAATGATTGTTGTAAACAACAAGAGTGAAGAGAAGCAGTTTGTTGCTTAAGAAACCTCTTCTATGGTGCTGAAAAAGGTGAAGGAAATTGTTGAGGCCTACCTTGGCTCAGCTGTCAAGAATGACGTGGTGAATGTGACTGCATACTTCACATATCCATACGTTATGACATGAAGATGATTTACGTCTAATTATTGAGTAGCAGTTTAAGTATTTGCCCATGTAGGAGTTAGCCTTTAGAGCCGTTGATGAATCTATAGTACTATTTATAATTACGACATCTACCACTAGTGTTGATGCCGAGAATAGAAATTACAAATTGAAAGCTCTACTTTTGTTCTTGCTGATTTCATAGTTCCTTCTAATTGTCAATGTATAAGCTCAATAATAAAAAATTCCAAATAATACTTTTCTTTTCAAATGTTATATTTTACATATGTCGTGCAACGCACGGATACGGATACTAGTATAGTGATAATGTAAAAAACTTGTTACAGGATCTTATCCAAATATACCAAAACTACGCGGTGAAACTACAGTGACTTACTGCCAAAAATACCTAACTAATAATCGGATTCTTTGCATCTCATTCAATATTCAATAATCCAAAAATTGACAAGAACAAATATGCCAACTCAATTACACGCAAGCACACTCCTATAAACAAGCCTATAATCATTACACCCCTTGTCCCAAATTGGATCAAATATTTACCAGAATTATAGGAGGTTTGTGTTGACCTACAAAGGATATAATTTTAATGGATAGATAAACTTCACATCTTACTCTGTTTGGATCATTGTTCCCTATCGTTTTATAATGTATTGTATTGTATTGTATCGTATTTTATCGTATCGTTTTATGAATATAATGTTTGGAGAGATTGTATTGTTTGTTATTGTTAAATAATAATTTGCTGTGGTTTGACTGTACCGTACTGTACTGTAACTAATAAATTTACTAAAATACCCTCAATTGTTTAAATATTAAATTTATCAAAAAAAATGCATAAAAATGATTTTAAAAAACAAACAGAAGAAGGCAAAACACCTTAAGAAAGCAGAACAAAGGAGTGAGACAGAAGAAGGCAAAACAAAGGAGCATACCTAATTAGAATTGAGTTAAAAGCAAATTAGGAGAAAAAATAAAACAGAAGGCGGCAAAACACCTTTAACGTTGGCGGCAGAAGTTCTGGAAAAAACTAAAGTAGGTTATAGGTTGGAGATTTGGAGTTAAAATAGCAAAAAAAGGTAAAGGATAAAATAGAATTGTGGAGTAATAAGTTAGGACATAATTGGAAAGAAAAATAGGAAACAATCCCACCACACCAAATCGGTTATTTCAAAAAAGGGGACTTTTCATTGTTCCGGAACAATGAATTTAACAATACAATACAACAAATTTTAATGAAACAACCAAAACAAACATTGTTTTGGTATAACAATACAATACGATACAATGGTAAACAACCATCCAAACAAGCTGTTAACTCCACCTAATAGACAAAAAGATTTACACTATCTTTGCGTAAAAGTTAAATTCTTTTAACTTCTTTTTATATTAATTCCTCACCATATGTCTCGTTGGAAGCTTTAAAAGGAAGAGAGCCACAATTTTGTTTGACCTTCCTTCTCTTCTAGCCACTAAGATATACATTGGTCAAAAAGAGCATATTTTTCGCTCAAAATCTTGCCTTTTCTATTGAAAACGTGATTATTTCTTACTTGAATTCTTGTTCTATAGATTTACGGGAGAAAACAGCAATTTGCATGCTCCATATCTATTCTGTTCTATTAAGAAGTTTGTTACTATTTTACTCCAAAGTGAAGGTCTCTAATTGGTATTTGGTGGGAATTATTTTGTAGATGCTACAACCTTGACAAAGTCCTAGGATTTTTAGTGTCAATGGCCGCTTGTGCTTTAAATACTGGTTTATCTGTTTGTGGCCCCTGTTTCAATTCCAGAGCCACCAAAATGTCTCTTAGTCATTGTTCTTCAAATGGTACTCTGCAACTTAAAGGTTTGGCATCCAGAGAATTTCTAAGCAAACCCTTGGATTATGCATCAGATCATAGCCATTGGAATGTTGCATTTCCAGCATCCATTTGTGTTAATGTATGTAAATTTTGTTACTTTTGCTTCTGTGTTAGTCACTATATTGTTCCTTGTTCCTTCCGCTTCGTTTTCTTACTATCTTGTTGTTGTTACTGCCTGGTGCTACTGATTGTCTTTTCGTCTTTCGTGAGCCGAGGGTCTATCAGAAACAGTCTCTCTACCTTCAAGGTAGGGGTAAGGTCTACGTACGCACTATCCTGCTCGGATCCCACTTGTGGGATTACATTGGATTTGCTGTTGTTGTTAATCAATATATTAGTGTTTTCATGTTTCATTCTTGTTTTTCATTTTTGAGATTAATTCATGAAGTGTTTTGTCCTAATCATTTTAGGAACAAGAATCAATATGTGTTGACAGTGGTAAGAGATGGTGGGAGAAGAGCCATAAGCCCAACATGGTAGAGATTAGTTCTGCACAACAACTTGTTGATTTATTATTAAAAGCTGGTGATAGATTGGTCATAATTGACTTCTATTCTCCTGGATGTGGAGGTTGCAAGTCTTTACATCCTAAGGTATGGTATATAGCAATGCACTACGCCGTAACCCTTAGCAAGCTGGAGTTTACTATATGAATCATCACTATCTATGCCGATCCATTTAAACATAAAATAAAAATAAATAAAGAAGTTTGAAGTTATAACTGGTGCTACTATTGATGTTTGCAGATCTGTGAGTTAGCTGAATCAAACCCCAATGCCATATTCCTCAAAGTAAACTACGAAGAACTGAAAACCATGTGCAATGCTCATTACATCCCTGTCTTACCTTTCTTCAGATTCTATAGGGGTGCACAAGGCAAAGTCTGTAGCTTCAGCTGTACCAATGCAACAGTAAGTACTGTATTTCATATTTCTTGGACTCGGGTGGATTTAGGGTAGTTTTTATGGGCTCAACTAAACCTATTTATTTTCGAATCCAAATTATGTATACGTGTGCAAAAATATTTATAATTGAATATATAAATAATATCATACTTATTCTGAACTCAGATCCTTTGTATGTCCTATTACTGCCCAACCCTCAAGTTGGTCACTGATACTTTACTTTCTCTAGTTTATCACGTAACTGAAATAGTAAATGTTGTAGTTTCTTATGGTAAAATTTGTACTTGTGCAGATAAAGAAATTCAAAGATGCATTAACAAGGTACGGGAAAGATCGATGTAGTCTTGGTCCAGCAAGAGGTTTAGATGAATCTGAGCTTTTAGCCTTAGCCTCAATTGGAGAATTATCAAGAAATGATTGTACGAGGAAAGATATATTTCAAGAATCATCCCTTACAGGAGTAGTAGATGTATACTATAGCACTTTGGAGCTAAAAGAAGGTAAAAAATTTGTGATGACCTAGAATAGGGATTTGGAAAAAAAAAAAAAAAAAATTCTTAATTTCATATTAGCAATTATATTTTCATGTCTCTGCCATTTGGGGTATCTTATTATAATTTGGATTAGGATGTGTACTTGATAGTGACTGTTACAGTATCAATCTCCCTCCCCCCTACCCCCCCCCCCCCCCTTCCCAAAGGCTTTTATTTCCCATGTGACTTTTTCGATTGTCCTTTTGTATGAGACGAAAATGGTCCTTTTGAATGGTTCCATTAGAAAATAGTCATATCATATAATTTAGGCCAAATACCTAGACAGCCCAACTTGGCATATTTTGTAAATTAGCCTTATAAACTTATTAAGTGACCAAATAGACACCTGAACTCGCTCCCAGTGTATCTTTCAAACACAAGTGTCTCAAAGTGAATACTGAGCGCGTGAAAATATTTTTGTTAACCTTTATTTTTGGGAGAAATTCAAAAATAGCCAGATTTACCACTGGTCGTTGAAAAATAGCCAAGTTTCAAAAGTCATCAAAATTTAGCCACTTTAAATCTGAGCGAAAATACTGTTCAAAATCCGGAAAAATACGCCCGCAAATTTTACGGGAGTTCCAGCATAAGTATGCTTGTACTCCCGTAAATTTTACGGGAGTTCCAGGATAACTATGTTGGAACTCCCGCAAATTTTACGGGAGTTCCAGCAAGTATAATTGTCCAGTATAATATACTGGAGTTTGGAGCACTGGTGCTCCAGTCTCCCGCAAATTTTACAAGAGTTAGCAAAGTATACCGGTCCAGCATAATATGCTGGAGTTCGTAAACAAATGCACCAGAACTCCCGTATATTATACTGGACCGGTCCCTGTTGCAGCAAAATAGTGACTATTTTTCATTGACTTGATAAACTGGCTATTTTTCATTGACCAGTGTGAAAACTGGCTATACCATAATATTTTAACTTTATTTTTACTTTATATATGAAAAAGCCTTAAAATTTCAGTCATCTCCTCCGGTGAATACTTGATCGGAAAAAATGGCTTATCTTCCCTATTAAAATCCAAATAGAAACCAAAACCACTCTTCGCGCATTTGATCATTTTTTTACATCACCCCTATGACAAAAAGAAGCCATAGGATATCCCCTGCACATTTGAGGCCCACCTCCACCATACACAGATATAATCCTTTCTAGTGTTAATTCAACTACTGTGTGCTTTTTCATTCACAAAGACAACACACAGACAGTTGGGATGTAGTGTAGTATCACCATAATTTTTGACGTGTAGTAAAAATTTTATGTATAAAAATTTATTAAAATTATAAAAATAGTAACCCATAACTTTAAAAATATAATGGGTTCAATGCTAAAAACTTTAAAAGTTGAACCCATAAAATTTAAATCCTGAATCCGCCTCTGCACACAGAGAAACAATCTTCTTTGTAATACACACAACTAGTGCACGACACACTTAGGGGTGTCAATTTGAGCCCAAACCCGCCCAACCCTCCCAGAGATTAATGGGTTGGGCTACAAACATATTAGCTTATGGGTCAATTTGGGTTGAGCCCAAGTTAACCCATTATTTTTTATAGCTCATTCTGACTCATTAAACAGCCCAAATACAACCCATGAATCACCCAAAACAAAGGGATCTCAACCCATTATCTGAAAATTTACTTAGTTGCCCCAAGTTTACTTTTTTTTTTGTATTTTCAATTTTCTGTTCTTTTGTTTTTCTGCACCACCCACAACCCTACCCCTATCCCCCCTCCCCCCCCAAACCCCATAAAAAAATTTATATTTATTTTTTTGTATTTTTAATTTTTTATTTTTGTTTTTGTTTGTCGGCACTACACCACCTCCCCCCCCCCCAACCCAAACCTATGCTTTATTTGAAATTATAAAATAAGAACATTCATATTAATACCATGGGCATAAGAATATTTAAGACAAAAATGACATCAAAGTAGACAATCCACTTCTGCTCGAACAAATGCAAAATTATTTACTTTTGTGACTTAAGGGAAAAAAGTGGTTTTAGGGGTGTGCATTCGATTTATCGATTCGATTTTGACCCTTATCGATAATTACTTATCGATTATCGATTTGTATATATGCTTATCGTTATCGTTTCAATAAGGTTTCGATTTTTTCGATTTCGATTTATCGATTTTGGAGGCTTATCGATTCGGTTATCGATTACACCAATAAGAAAATTTGCTGGATTCAACGGAAAGTATATCGCTATAAACGCGCCTAACTAATATGGACAAAAAGAAGCTAAAATAAGACGAACACCATTTATAATATAAAAATTGTGTCAACAAGCACATGCAACAAAACTAAAGTAAGGGATCAAATGTATGCCACCAACACTCCAACGGTATAAAAAAAACAAAACAAAACAAAACACATCATCACGGCTAACTCCGTTTTTCATTAATTTGAACTTCATTCTCTTGATCGTTTAAATATGATACGATTCCGTTAAATGTGGTAGAGGAAATAATAGGGTAAGGGACTTAGGGTAAAGGAAAGGGTATAGATTAGGGAAAATAATATTGTATAGCCGCTTTCAAAATAGTAGCGGAATATATATACATTCTGTATGTTATATTAATCTACACAAATAGGTAATTACTCATTTAACAAGTGTCTACAGTCTAGGGGTGTGCATTCGATTTATCGATTCGATTTTGACCCTTATCGATAATTACTTATCGATTATCGATTTGTACATATGCTTATCGTTATCGTTTCAATAAGGTTTCGATTTTTTCGATTTCGATTTCGATAGCAAATAATCGATTCGATTTATCGATAAACCGATTTGAATGCACACCCCTAAGTGATTTGGCGGGCTGGGAGGCTTGTGGGTTGGGTTGGGTTCGGGGGGGGGGGGGTTGAGGACGAGAAAAAAGAAACGTTAACTAAAGCTCATGCACAGATTAAACTTGTTACAACAATGAATGCTACTGGATACCGGACATGGAATGAAAATTAAAAGAATTGTTTTATGGGAGTATTTAACTTAGATTTAGAGGGACAAAAGGTTGGCAATTCTATGTTTCGATCTTTGCAACAACAACCTCGAAAGATTATATTTAGAGACCAAATTAAAATTTAGAAACCAAAAAAGAAGAGAACAATTTAAAACTTACTCAGTTGTTTGGTATGAAGCTATACGCAGTGGCGGATCCAGAATTTTAAGGTCGTGGGTGCTCATTTCCTTTAACATAAATTTGCTACCAATTATATAGTATAAATGCACGACTATTCTAACCCGACAGTGTAAAAAGTTAATGAGAAAACGCCTGTTAATATTATCAGTACCAAAACAAACTTCTAATCATAAAATTGCAATGAACTTTTTATGAAGCATAAACAATAAGCATGGGGAAAAAACCCCAAATCCCTCTACTAAAAGTTTTCAATCTCTAGCTTTAATAAAAACATAATCTTATTACGTTGTTCCTTACGTTTTGATTTTGAAACTATTTTGAAGCATAACAGTGATTGTTAGCTTTCTTTTTTCTTTTCGCTGGAAGGTGTATTTTCTTTCTTTATGTGAGAGCCGAAATCCAAGAAGTGGAGAAGAGTTTGGTCATTTGGTGTCTAGTAAAAATTAACTTTATCCTGAATGAGATAAAGCCTAAAGAAAATAGAAAATAGAAAAAGTAAAAAAAAAAAAAAAAAAAAAAAACGGTAACAAGTACAGAGCATTGGAAAGACAGAGAAAATAGCCAGCGAAATGCTGTCCCAATTTGGAATCGAACTCGTGTGGCTTAAAAACACGCTCTTAACTTCAGCTTTGAATCAAAGCACCCATGAGCACTTTTGTTTCGTGGGTGCTTACTAATTGAATATATTATTTTTCTATGTTTTCTTATATAATTGTACATAGTTCACGGCGGCGTCAATGGGTGCTTCAGCACCCGGCACGGACTACATAGATCCGCCCCTGGCTATACGTACCCAAACCGAATACGGTTTCTCAATTTCCATATCAAAACCACTACATTATAGGCAATATGTGAGGCTTTAAAGGAAAATTATTAATTGTTTTCTCAACTTTTAGGCATACTTGGACATGGTTTAATACAACCTCAAACAATTTTAAAGAAAAAGTGATAGTTTTATACTTCAATACCACACCAAAGGGGTGACTTGTGTGGTACCCGATTTTTTCGCTTAAACTGATTATGGAAGGACCTGATTCTTCTAAGTGTTCCTTGACCTACTATTGCAGAAATAGTAAATGCGGAAAGTAAAGAACACGAGTATTTTATGAGGAAAACACCTGGCTCAAAAGTTGAAAAACCCACGACCTACTTTTCAGTAGGATTTTCCCAAACTCTCCACTACTATCATTGAGCCAAAAACTGCATTTACAAAAACTCTTTTGTAAACCTAGGACTAACTCTAATCCCGTTGTAGCACACAGCCTCTAACTGTTGCGACAACTTCAAGTTAACTCTAACTTGAATACTTTGAGTACCTATTACAATTGCCTCTAGATAAAGCTGAAAGGTACAATATGAAAACACCTACTACAATTGAACTAGAATAAAAGACAAACACTTGGAACTGGTTCTTCTATCTGGTTCATGTAGCTTCAGGTTTGCACACTTGAATCACACACGAATTGCTTGCAAAACTGCCTTGTTATTTTGCTCTCAATTCACGTTTAACTTCTGCTTATGTGTGTTACCTGTAAAAAAGAACAATGCCGATATTTATGGAGTTAGTAAATAGAGATTGACTAGAATTCTGATGCTACTCTTCCTTGGTGGAAGAGTTCTAGTTGATTTCAACTTCTAACTCCTTCCCTATCTTGGATAGTATTCTCTTTGATTAAGAAGTCCTTCTCCTTATCATTTATGCAACCTTTTCGATCAGGATCAGGAGATGTCAAATCCGTCAAGTTAGGTTTATCTCCTTCACGTGCATCCCACATGCTTAAGTCTATCCACATCTATGCTTCACTGAGATGGACCTGGTTTATGTCTGAGTTCCTTTGTCAGTCTTCAAAACTAACCTTTACTTGGACCAACAAAAGGGTACATGTAAACGTTCCTGTGATACTAAATATTGTAAACACATTACAAAAGTAAACTCACATGTTGAGCACTATAT